AGATAGCAGTCAGCTGAAGTGGCCTGCAGTACTGCACTCTAACCACTGCGCTTCAAGATCTTGCCCCCACACCCACCCACAAGTCCATCCCATGGTCCAATCTCTCACTGCCATGCTAGCAGTTCCACCCATCCAGTTCTGGTCAGGTGCAGAGACAAAGGATGACCTTGGCTTTCTAGAAAGAATGTTGTTATGGCTACATAGCATCTAACTCCATATAAATCCCCCTCCCATTTTCCCGCAATAGAATAATAGAATAATAGAAAGTCTGGCAGGCCAAAGATCCAAAAGGAATATGGCGGCAGGCTCGACAAAGGCTAGATGAGGGTCTAAGTTGAGGCAGTGAAGATAACGTTCTTCTGATATCTGGGAAACATCGCGATCTGAGCTCAACCTGTTCTTCTGATGCTTGACAATAAGTTCTGGCTAGCTTTCTACTCTTCCTTTCTGTGGGAAAACAGCTGCATTTTTAATCTTTGTGGTCATGCACATTCTCCGTTACTCATGAACAAAAGCGACAACATTCGTTTTGCTGTTTGTCTCATGATGAGAGGATAGTGCCACCACAACAGCATACCATCAAGTAGACCAAGCATAAATGCGTAGCTTACAACTGAAGTGTAACCAAATGGGAATCATTTTCATTAGTTCATCAGGATTTAAATCTCATCATGTTGAGGCGATATGGCAACAATTGTAATTAAAGAAAGAATAGAATGGAGAGAGAATGTTACAGTGGATGCCTTACAATGCTAGTTGTATTAAGTTTCCTTTGGTTTTAATCAGAACGTTTTTTGAAGGTGGTATCCAGAGCAGTTATTCTGCTCACTATAGAATAATTGGGCTCACATGAAGTACAGCAAAATTAGGAAAGGTAACTTTGAAATCTGAAAAATACTAGAACAGTCTTGAATCTGGGTTGTAAAGATTCAACTGAAGCTGGCTTTTTCTTTCTTTCCTGACATAAGGAAAGTATTCAGATTTGGAAATCAGTCTTGGTTTACCAGTTTTTGTCCTGAAATTCTCTCTTATTGAACCATATCGTTCGACCGTATCTCAACCCTGAGTCAGCTGCTGAATATTGTGTGATACTTTTCACTTTACCATCGGCTGAATTATTTTATTTGGTTGCTTATTTCCATTTAATTTAAGCACCTTTTGAATCCAAACCAACTGATTATGGTTCCTCTGTATCAGAGGTGGCAAACTCAAGGCCTGGGGGGCAAGATGTGGCCCATGGGGTGCTTAGATCTGGTCCGCTGGGCCGTCCTGGAAAAAGCTAAGGACCAGTCTGTGGTGCCTCTGCCAGTGTCAGTGGAGCTCACGAGGGCTGTGCACGGCTCTCCCAAGCTCCATTTTTGCGGGCAAAGGGTTGCAGGAGGCCGTCACAGCTGAAAATGGAGCTCGGGAGCCCGTTTTTGCTGGCAGAGCGCTTGGTCCACCACAGGCATCCCCCCAACACGAGCGACGTCATGCTGGCCACAACCACCCTGGCCCCCCCAACGTCAAACACAACCCTGATGCAGCCCTCAATGAAATAGAGTTTGACACCCCTGCTCTATATGTGCAATCTGTGTGAATGCATTGAATCCTTAATCGGCAGGAGGACTTTTGTGGAAACCGTTTCTTCGAGTAGGTTGAAGGAAAATTAATTATTTTCTGATTAGAGTGGGGAAAGAAGCATTTCAGTAATTGTATAGATTGGTGGGACCTGATCTCCATTTGCTCCTGTTAGCCTAGCTTAGAAAGGATTTGTGTCGTGGCATAAAATTCCCCACCCCCACCCTTCCTCCTCTATGATTGTGGGTGGAAAAGGGCTGGGATTAGTTTCTTGCAGTTCTTCAGAAACTCCACATAAGAAGAACTTGGTTGATCTGTACTGTCATACGAAAGAAACAAGAACGGCTACAGAAAAGTGTTTGATGTTTAAATCTGATCTGATATGTTTCAAGTCTGAGTATTTAATTTTTTATTATAGTATTCCTATAACCCAAAGGTGCCAAACTTGCGGCGCGTGGGCTGGATGTGTCACGCACTGGCAACGCCCCCCTTGGTTTAGCGAGGGGGGGGAGTTGCAATACATCACATGACAATTTGTTGTCATGAGTTTGACACCACTACTGTAATCATTTCCTATTATTATCGCTATTTGCTATAGTTTCAAGAAAATCATCGTACTTTATTATTTTGTTTTCATTGTCTCTCTGTTTGGTACTAAACTTAAAAAGAAGTGGATTTTTAAAAAAGGAACCTCTTCATTAATAGTTTAAAAAGAGTTTTTTTTAAAAAAAAAACACCCTCATTTAACAGTTGCTTTTTGGATCCACTATTTAAAAGTTTGTTTTTCTGTTCTTTCTTTTTTTCTTTTTCTGTTCTTTTCTTTTTTCTTTTTTCTTTTGCCCTTCAGATAAGCACAGCACTAGGGGGGTGAGCATATTAGCCAATTATTCAATCAGGTAGTTGCCTTCCAATAAAATTGCTAAGAGTTTCTGAGCTTTGTATCCCCCATATCCTTTGACTTCAACCAAACTGGTTGCAGCTGCAGCAAATCCTAATTTAGCCACCTGTGGAGGACCACATGTTTCCCATCTCTGTAATACAAGAAAGGCTTTTGAAATTTGGTGCCTTTATTTTGTAGGCCACAATAGAACTCTTGTCCTGGAATTAACCTTAAAGTTTTATTTTCACTTTTGCACTGGCAAGCATCTCTATATTCCTGATATACGGTATTTTGTAATGTATAAGCCCATCGGTCAGGCGCAAAAGATCGTGGCATCATGTGACCTTGCAGTTAAAATTTATTGCACAAGAATCGAGTCAACTAAAAGTACTAAATTGGCACCATATAAGGGTCAACAGAATTCAGAAGGGGCTGGCCTCTCTCCCCAGGTATGGTGAGTCCCGGGCTGGGGCTCGACGATTTATGGGGATGTAATGACTGTAGACAGGGTGTCAAACTCGATTTCATTGAGGTCCACATCAGAGTTGTCTTTGACCTTGGGGAGCCAGAGTAGGCATGGCCAGGGTGGGCATGGTCAGCTCGACATCACTCATGTCGGGATGCCTGTGGTGGCCTGAGCACTCTTCCAGAGAAAACAGGCTCCCAAGCTCCGTTTTCTGCTGCAACGGCCTCTTGCAACCCTCTGCCAATAAAAACGGGATCTCGGGAGGATCGCACCCTGCCCTGACTAGCTCCATTTTTTCTGGGAGAGGCACTGCAGGCCAGTCCTTTGCTGTTTCCAGGGCAGCCCCACGGGCCAGATCTAAGCATCCTGTGGGCCAAATCCGGTCCACAGATCCCTTGATCTTGCAAGGTATTTAGGAAAGCATCTTCATGTTGAGTGCCAGTTTCTCCATGCGAAGGTGCCTTGCAAAAATTGCTGGCAAGCTATAGGTTTTTTTAAAAAAAAATATTGCTACTGGTTTCATATATCTTCTAATCAGATTTCAAACCTTGGGGTTTTTTTTTAATTCCTAACCACATAATTGTTAGCAGATTCATGTTGAAGTTGTACTGCAGAAAGTTTTCTGTAAACATCACATTTTTCAGGCACTAAATTTAATATATAAATGAAAAAAATATGTTTTTTATTTATGAGCTGTCTTAAAGTATATTTACAGCAATAAAGTTTAAAAGTTGCATTAGATTAATATATAACAGCTAACTATGATGAATGCAAGATGTATATTAGCTTTAACTGAGATAATGATTTGAAGACAATGGGAGTAACTTGAGTGGCACAGCTAGCTTATTAGATGAAACAGGGCTTATAGTATATTGTTTCATTAACTGTAACATACATTCACAATTGTTGATAAAATATGACTTAATTGTAAAGATGCACTTGTCCCTTGTACAGAAGTGAGTGCCTGGTATTCAGAGACCACTAACAGCTGGTTTCATTGTCACAATTATTTTATTCATTCATGTTTAGCAGTTTCTGCAGAACTTGTCTGATGAAAAAGACGAGAGCATGTCACCACTGCTCATTTACACTTCCCTCTTTAATGAGCAGGCCTGTTTGGCCACATCATTTTAACTTTTAAGACCCGCTGCAAGAAATTGTTTGCTACCCGTTCTGTCATGGACCATATGTCACAGAAATATCCATATTAGTTATAAAAATTAATGGAGCTTTACGATTCAGAAGGCAGTACAGTTGTTTAGTGTAATAAGAAGGAAAAATATAACACAGTGAGGTTATTTGATAAAGGGGATTAAACAATTAACAACTCCGTGTGTCATTGATCTGGCTGTGTGTTTAATTTTCTTGATTAATTCTCCTTACCTGTTCAAAACATGGTACTTTTTCTGGTAAACATATTTATCTGATAATAGTTTCTGTGTAAGTTCTTTTTTTTTCAACTTCTTCTACCATAGCAAAGTGCTTCCTTTTCCCTATCTTCTGAATGATACCNCCAATCACTGTGCAACAGGGTGAGCTCCCGTTACTTGCCCCAGCTCCTGCTCACCTAGCAGTTTGAAAGCATGCAAATGGGAGTAGATAAACAGGTACCACTTTGGTGGGAAGGTAACACAGTTCTGTGTGCCTCAGCATATATTCACACTGCCTTTGGATAACACTGTGTTGTCTTTGGATAACACTGCATCCCTCAGGTAAGAAAGGAGATAAGCACTGCCTCCTAGAATCGGACACGACTGGACCTTTAATTTGCAA